CTTCGCTTCTGCACGTTTGTAGCTGCAATTGTTTCTTTTTTTGTGCGTTGAAAATATAGGAGTTCATTAAAAATAAAAGATCTGCTCAAAGCCAGAGTTCTTAACAGCATAATAATGTTGTCTTGATGTACGAAGCGGCTGCTCTTCTTGTGCAGTACCCTTTCAGAGTGCAACACTGGAGTCAATGGGAGGAGTGCGAGGATGAGGACACAGGAGGAAGCAGTGCTCACCTCGCTTGTGGGAGCTCATCTAGATCCGGACACAGTTTCCAATGTTAAAGCTTGGTATGTGAGCTCCGTTGCTCTGTTCTTCAGCAAACTTGACTTTTCACGAGTAGGTTGTGAGTGTGTGTACACTGGGTCAGCCCAGAGGTTCACATTGCTGTCTTTTATCTGATAGCAAATGCTTCGTGAAGACTGTAAGAAACAGGGTGAACACAGATTGAGCCTTCCACAGTCATACTCCTCGGGCATTTTGACGCGCAGTGCTTAGGGGCTGCTTTGAACTGGTTGTTCATGGTCACCGATAGACTTGCCCTCTGCAAATTTGTTAGTGTTCCATGGTGTAACTAAGTTCTGTGAAAGCAGGTTTTTAAACCTGCAGCCTAAGAATTTCGATGGCCACCTTTAATTCTGTATTCAAGGAAATAAAGGCTACCTATTTGCTTTTCCCATACCTCTTATGATCTTAGATATGTAATAAGCTGTCATCCCTTCCCCCATACAGGCTTTCTCCCAAGTACCCTGATGGGCATTAGTTGTACGCCTAAGTCTCTACACTGAGTCCACTTCTCTATTAAATATTATTTAGTCCACTAGAAGATTTCAGACTGACCAGGAATATGCAGCCTATCAGTATAGTGAGGCAGATGCTCAAATTCCCCCTTTGCCTACGAAACAAAACCAGCCTGCAGTGTTCTTCTGTTCTGGGCTTTAAGGAATAGACTGTATTTGCAAAAGCAGCCACTGAAGATACAAGCTACTCTTGGAGGACTTCTTGCACAGGTAAACGGAGCAGAAGAATATAACTTTTTCCTGGAAAATAACTACTTTGAGTTGAAGTTGTCAGAACATTTCATAAGTGAAGAGAACAGAGTATCAATTACTGAAGTGGCCAGATAAGTCCCCTTTTCTTCTGTGTAGACTGAGATTGCTGGTGATACAGGATTTTTTTCATGTTTGTTTTTTTTTTTTTTAATATTTCACCCAGAACTTCCAGCAACCGAAATTCAAGCTGCTGTGACTGTAGTGCCACGGGTCATCATGTAACATAGGGCATGTCAGAAGTTCCCACATCTGTCTCCGGCGAATTGGGGAAAATCCCGACTCCTGGAGCTTGACCAGCTGCCCTTGTGCAGCTGCGTACTCCACAGGCTGTGCTTCAGACCTGATCTGTTCACACCGAGTTCATACGTAGCCCCAGGCGGTTTCTGCCCATAGGCAGCCTTGCAGGATGCAGAAGAGCTGCTCGCTTCTTGTCTACCTGCTATGCTCATGTTTGAAGCTCCAAGCTGAAGTTTCGTAGAAGCTCAGCACTAGCGCAGAACCGATTGCAGGGTCTGCAAATGGGCAGTTTGGGGCTGTTTGCAAACCCAACAGCGTTTTGTCTCTTGACAGCACGGATCCTGTAGCTCTTGACCCACTTCTAATACTACTAGATTACTATGTCTTTAAGCCTCAGCCTGTGTCTGGCTGTTGCTTTCGGTGACAGTGTTCTCGTGTTGCCTGCTATGCCCTTTCTGCCCGCTCTTCATCTCAGAGTGAGCTGAACCAAAACAGATGCCAACAGCAGTAAATTCATGCCGCATCTGCTTAAATCTTCAGTTATCTGCTTATCATCCGTTGATATGCTTGAGGGCAGGGCTGCCATTCAGGAGGACTGAGGCAGGCTGGAGGAATGGACTGACAAAAGCCTTGTGAAATTCAAGAAGGACAAATGCAAAGCCCTGTACCTGGGAGGACTAACCCCAAGCAGCAGCTCTGCAGAAAAGACCCTCTTGGGTTCTGGTGGGCAGCAAGCTGAGCGTGAGCCGGCGGAGGCCGGCAGCGTCCCAGGCTGTACGAAGAGGAGCACAGGCAGCAGATTGAGGGATGCGATTATCTCTGCTCAGCAGTTGTTAGACCACGTCTGGAGGATTGGGTCCCCCAGTACAAAAGTGTCGATTAAACTTTGAGCGCCACCAAAGATAGTCCAAGGGCCTGAGCACTTTCCCCATGGAGAGGCTGAGGGAACTGAGGTTGTTCAGCCCGGAGAGGAGAAGGCTTTGGAGGGACTTACCAGCAGCCCTGCAATACCTATGAGGAGGTCATCAAGAAGACAGAGACAGGCTTTTCAGTGATACGTGGTAGGAATAATAGAGACACAAGCTGGAACACGAGAGGTTTCGACTGGATATAAGGATAAGGGGATCAAGCACTGAAACAGGTTGTACAGGGAGGTGGTGCAGTCTCCATTCCTGGTGCTTTTAGAGATCGGTCATGTCTTGAAAAAGCCTTGAGCAACGTGGTCTGACCTCAGAGCTGACCCTGCTTTGAGAGGAGGTTGGACCAGAGACCTCCTGAGGTCCCTTCCAATCCAAGTTACTCTGTGACGGAGATAACGTTTGAGTCCTCTTACAGCCTGCTTGCTGCTGAGGAGGGCAAGGCGAACGGGCCACACTGAGGAACATACAGCTGAACTTGTCTGCGAAAGGGAAACCAGTCACTGGAGCTCTTGTGTATGGGACTTGGTCACCTTGAGTTACCCACAAAGGCGTTTTGTGTAATTTTAGGAAATGTCCCACCTTTTCTTTCTTCTTTAGGCTGTTGACTGGAGGCATAACGATTCCAAGGGGCTTCTTCAAAGCTGCCTATTCACCATCACCAAAGCAGAAAATATTTTGTTAATAGTGGGGACAAAGGAGGGGATTAAAGGCTCAGATGTACATAGCTTTTCTGGTTGGCTGCTGCTCTTTAATATATAGTGATGGAAATGCCATGATGTGCGCTGCAGGCCACTGATCAGCAATGGAGTGTGTCCAGGGATAAATTTTCAGAGGTCTTTTCCTCTGTCTGAGAAATCTGATGGTTTCTGTAGAGCTTCCTATCTGCTGCTTGCCGGTATGCTAGTCTTGCTCCTGTGATCAGGCAGCATCAGGTTGGCACATGGACCTCTTGCTTGCCTGACCAGGAGCTCCAATATTGTGTTTTCACGGTTTCATGCTTCAGAGTCCCTGTGAATTTAAGGTGGTTCAGCACCTCTGCCACAGATCTCCAGGGCTGTATGAAGCCAGTGGGCTGTGGCGTGTTGGATTCTTTTGCACTGGGACTGTTAGTGGCTCTGGTTTCAGAAGCCAGTACTCCCTTATACTGTCATCCTGCCTTGCCTTTTTGCAAGGAAAGTCTGTCTTTCTCAAAGAGTTCCATTAAAGTACCATGGAACTACAGGCAGAGACCAGCAACCGAGGGCTAGACAAGCTACCAAGTGCTTTAGATATACAAGGTGTGCATCTTCTGGAGGGACATGGCTGAGCAGGGCGGACTTCTGTGGTTAGCGAAGGCGCCAAACATCAGGGAAGTGGAGCAAGGTCATCTCTTTGTGTTGTGTTTTTTCTTTTTTAACTATTGTTCAGTAGGTATTCCTGCATGCTTGGAGTGCTCTTCAGTGGTCCCCCCAGCTTTCTGCAGAAGGGCAGTGGTGGAGAAGGATTTGGGATGGCTGGTGGACCTCCGTAGAGGCATTAAGTAGTGACAGTTCCCAAAGAGCAGGGTTTGCTTTTAATCACCAGGTTTATTTTACAGTGCAGATCATTAGTCTTCTAGGTCATAAATTCCCAAGCATTCAGGCACAGACGAGCCCGCTGTTTCCTCTTTGATGGAGCTCTGTCTGAGGCTGTTCTCTCTCTCGTCCAGGCTGTGCTAACTTGCTGGTGGGCCTGTATGGTCCTACCTCTGCCCGGAGCGATGCCTGCTAAGAGCTGTAACGTGCCTGTTCCAGGCAATAGCCTGTGAGCTGGTGCAGTTTCCTGACATCCTAGAAAATGAAAGTAACAGATATCAATAAAATATTGCTCAAAGCTCTTGTTCCAAAGCTGAGCATAAATAAGAGTTAATAGCGTTTGTGCTGAAGTATTGACTCGGTCCCAAATCCAGAGCTCCCACTTTCTTGGCTTTAACCACCAGTGTGGCTGTGATGCTTTTTATGTATGTTCAGAACCATTTTTTTTGTTGGAGGGTTCTGTCATCACACTTTATTTCACATAATTGCCTGGGGTTTGGGGTGGAATGAGCTCTTCTGAAGGAAGCTTTTACAATCCATGCCTAATAGCTGCTTTTCTAACTAAAATATTGTAAGTGTGTAAAAGTAAATGTAATTGGATTATGCAAAATAATCTCTTCAAATGAGGTTTTAAAGCATCAATCAGCAAGTTGTAGGTGTCCGAAGCTGGGCGATTCTAACAGTTCCTTTATGCAGCTGAAACATAAGTCTCTTACAGAGCTGATATGTAAGGAAGACTTATTGGAACCCTTCCTCACATCAGAATAGGGGTTTTTTTATAGTGGAAATTTCTTTACAGTCCAATTTTTAACTATATGATTTCAGTTGTCCCATTAAATCAATCCATTAGGCTTTGTGGCTGCTCTTTTTCATCAAGTGCTCTTACTTTGATGCCTTGTTATTCTCATGCAATTTGTTTCCCGTGCCTTCATTTAGATTACTATCAAATGCCTTTTTAGTAGGGTTTCACTAAAAATGTTGGGTTTTGACTGCGAGTGTTACCTTCCACTTGCCTCTTGTGCTGATGTTTTTGAGAGATAAGCGCCTCGCGGTTCTTTCTGAAGGGAGTGTATTGACTTTGGGGGGATGAAAAGGCATTTCCTTGGGTGTTTGGAGCATGTACAGAGTTGGCTGTCATGCACAAGACTTTTTTCTCGCTGCTCGGAGAACAACTGGACTCTGTTTTTCTCTTCTGATCACTTCCATGTTTCATGTGAGTCTCATGATCTTCACTGCTCTTGCAGGTCAGATGCCGGGGCCTGGTTCGATGATACCTGGACAGCCCATGCCAGGCCGGATGATGCCAAGTGTGTCAGCCAACATCCATCCAGCCGGTGGTGGTCCCCCCCCACCTGGCATGTCACCGATGTCAGGAAGTCTAATTGGACCTCGTGTTCCTCTAGCAGCTCCAAATGGCATGTGTAAGTGAATCTCCAGCAGAAAACGCTTTGAATATACCTGGTGCGGCTTTTCTGTCGCTTGCCTTGTTGCTGGAAAAGTCATTGTAGTTGAAACTCCTTTATCTGCTGCAGGAATAATAGTATCTGTGCACGTTGGCAGCCAAAGACTGGTGCCAGAGGTGTGCTTGAAGCTTTAAGTGCTTGTCTCCCGTCTAGGCATCCAAACATGCTCCATTGTCCTTTATTTTGTTTATAACATCCCTTATTTTATTTATAATGACACTAAGGCTCTGTGGTCATCATCAAAAACCTCCCTCGACGTAGTCTGGAAGAATGCACAGTAGAGGTTCAGGAATTAACTTGGAGCTAAATCCTTAAATAGTGGAGGTCAGAATATAATTCAGTTCAACAATACGCTACAGAAAACTTTGCACTGAAATTAAAAAGAGGAAGTCCTAATTAGGAAGAAGCAAATTGGGAATGTTCCTTACATGGTATAAATACATACACCTCTGAAAATGAAGTTGATTTACGCCAGCCAAAAAAAAGCAGCTGAAGTCAGTAGCCACTGTGTGGGTGTTACTTGAATGAGCGTGAGAATGTGTCCAAACTTAGAAAGCAAAAGAAAAGCTGGTATGGCTGGTGCAGGATGCTCTGTCATGAATTCCTCAATAAATTTGTCTATATTAGCTGCAACCTGGGACAAGCTGTTGGTCTGATTCAGTGCAACAGTCTTAACCCCAAAAATGTTATTTAGCGTAACTGTCACCGGACGGGCAGGAATTGTGATTGCTTGTAGTACCTCTCCCAAAAAATAATTGGGGAAAGCCATCCCATTTTGGCTTCAGCTGAAGGGAGTTGCTGAGGAGTACTGACTCATCGGTGTTAACCAGCATAAGCATGAAATACTCCATTCTGATGCTATTTTAGTTCAGACATTTGCTACTTATTCTTCTGGTGCTCTAGCTTTACTTAGTTTTCCTTCCCTTTTTCTGAGCCTCTGCCACTGGGAATATCTTATGTCAGGTTGTATTCCTGCTTGCTCTCTTCCCTTATCTTAATTTCTTTTTTTTTCTCCCCTACTAAACAAGTCAGTCATGTTCCATTAACATCTCCTCTCTGTGCATGAAAGCTGGCCTTTTATAGCCTTCGTTTCTTTCCTCCTACTTGCTGCATCTGTGGATTCCTCTACTTTAACCTACATACACTGTTCAGAGCTTAAGTGCAGGCTCTGTTTATATAAAGTCTATTGTTCCATCTATTTTAAATAGAAAAGAGCCATAATCTAAAGGCTCGAGCACAGAGCTGGGAGATGAGAAATGCTAATTCCAGCTCTTGGACATAAACTTTGCCAGCTACTGAGCTGCATGCCAGTCATCTTTTCTGTAAAATCAGGGATTTTTTTTCCTGTTTCGGAGCACATGCAGTGCTTAGTGATTGAAAGGCAGAATAAAACGTGCAGTGGAGCTTCACGTGAAGCTTAAGAGATGGGGATGCCGCGGTCGTGGCCATTTCTGGGGCCAGTCCTTGCAGCTTTCCCCTCGGACAGCCGCGTCTCCCATGGCATATAGACATCTGGACGTTTGCGTTGGGTTCCTTTTCCACGTTCAGCCCCTCCTGGTGTCCTGCTCACTGTTTCTCTGCTGGTTTTTTGCAGATCCCCCTCCTGCACAGCCACCTCCGCCAGCGGAAGGGGTGACCCCACCTCCGACAGGAGCCCCGCCGGCCTCAGCCGCTCCGTAAGCAGTCAAGGAAGAAGGAACTTCTACAGCAACATAGTGGTGACCAAAAATGAATTCCTCAGTTACCTTCTGTTCCCTCGGGAGGTTTTCACCTCCCGTTGGCCTGCCCCCGTCGTGTATGTGTGCATATACATACACGTACACAAGCACATATACACAGCATCGTTTTCCCCCCTCTCCCCACCGCTCATAACCTGGCAATACTTAGCATTCCTTTGGGAAAACTTTAGATCAAAGATGCCAGTAGTGCCTCCCATGTTGCTGGTGGGAAGTCCTTTACGCTTTGGTCTGCTTGCCTTTCAGAGCGTGCTCGACTCTGGTTTCTTTCGTCTTGGTGTTTTGGGCTTTGGGTTCTCCTGGGGAGGGTTAAAAAGAAACCAAGCTTTTAAGGTGGAGGCATTAACTGAGCTTTAGGATGTAGCACATGCCCACTCCACCTGTGATTTAATGTTTCGGGTTCTCTGGGTAGAGCAAAGCATCAAGATCAGATGCCAAACCAGTGTTTTGAGCAGAGAAGGAAAACAAGGGCGTGCTGTAGCACAGAAGG